GTTGCAGCAATATTGGTCTAGAGGCAAAAGGAATCAGAAGTCATGGCAGAGGTGATATCTTTTATTAGACTAACTAGATTTTTGCAAAAAAAAAAAAAAAAATTAATTGCAAGCTTTCGGGCACAAGCACTCTTCTTCAGGCATAGGAGAAAAGATTGTAAACCCAGGAGAACTCTTACAAACTTTTCTCCTATGTCTGAAGAAGAGTGCTTGTGCCCGAAAGCTTGCAATTAAACATTTTTTTGCAAAAATGTAGTTGGTTTAATAAAGGATATCACCTCAACCACCAGTTCTGAATAAAGAAAAAAGATCTTTCCTCGGTAAGTAACTGAGTAGCAGCCACTAGGGAGCTGACCCTGCTTGCTATTCTGCTCCCCGTACAGATTTTACTTTTGCAGAAACTGCTCTTACCATATTTCTCACATATAAGGTGCACCACAATTTCCCGAAACTTTTTTTTTTTTTTTTAAAGCTGCCTGTTCCTGATAAGATATGATATTATCGTAGACAATAGCCTTTGATAGCATAGTCTTTCCAGCACTCCCTCGTGTCTGAGAGGATTCAGTTGAAAGCATGCTCAGGTTTGGAAAATGAACTTGATGCCAATTCTCAGTACTTTTATGGTGCAAACCTACTGCCAGACATGTCAAAGAGCATCCAAAAAGGTGGATTGCAGGCCAGTGCTTATCATTTATTCTCAAGATCAGAAATAGTTTTCTGAAACCTAGGGTGGGCTTAATTCACACCATTGTTATTAGGTGGTGCAGGGGGGGAGGGGGTTGAAGTCCTTGGCAAAATCTTCAGTAAACTGAATGGGATCAGGAGTGGACTCAAGACTCAACATTACTTTTGGCCCTCTCAGCCGCAAAGCTCTGCCAGCAGGGCTGTGTCTGTAGGGGACGTGAACCGATAGCACCCATAGCCACCTTTGTTTTGCCTGCACAACCCCTAGTGTGTCGGCTTCTGCTGGTGTTTGGAGAAGGTGAAGTGACTCTGATGGCAGAAGTCAGAGCTGCATCTGTCCTAGGGACCCGATGCCCCCTCCCAGCTGTTGCATTTGAATCGGACAGCTTCGCTTCTAGGCCTTTTGGCTCAGATCAAGTGTCTTGGCCTCTTGTGGGCTAAGATCAAGTGGGGGTATCCGAATCCCAAGACCTATGGGCTTGGGCCTGCACATAGGATGCCTGCCAATGGATTTGAGAGCATCTCAAGTCCCTGGGATGGAGGATGCTCACCGACTGTAGCACCAGACGTGGTGTTTAGAATGACTGAGTTCTGCCTACTCAAATGATATGGTTTTTGGAACAACCGAGCTGTGCTCAATCGATACAATTTGGCTGATTTGACCTGGAACATGAAATATATTAATTAAAAAAAAAAAAATGGAGACAGCAGGAGTTGTGTAGGGTAGACCTCATGGTCGGTTGTGCCTACTCAAAAGGAGTCAAAAGGATGAAAGACCCAAGTACAAACCGTCAGCCTTTGGTGGATTCCAGTTTGGAGGAGTTTTTAACAAAACCCGAATGCAGCGTGCCTTTCATTTCTTGCTCATCTTTGATTGCTGTTTCAAGGGAGCTCTTTTTCAAAGCCTCCGTCAGCTTTAAAGCTACAGCTGCTTATGACTGAGTGCCTGGGCTCCGTGCAAAACCCCTTGTGCCGTCTAAGACGAAAGGCCTTGTTCCTGGCCAAAAACTTCAGGCGTCTCTTCAGGGCTCTTTTGTGCAGGTCCCTGAGGAGCAGGCATCGGTCTTCTGACTGTAACGGTGCCTCCGCTGTGGTTTCTGAAGCTGGGTCTGGGCTGCTTTTCCTCCCCGTTGGTTACGGCAGGGAGCGGGGTCCTTCAGGGGACTGCAGAGCTGATGCTTTTGGCATCCGCGTGGGCTCTGCGGGTGGTGAGGAACCGCTGGAGGGAATCTTACTCATGCTGAAATCATCTTACTGACAGGGGTCTGGGACCCCAAGGCATTTCCAAATGCAAGCCCTGGAAAGCATCCCATTCACATGCGTACATGAGAACGGAGCGGGACACATCAGGTGACAGTCCTGAGACCGCCGGGGCAAGATGGAGCCGGAGTCAGCATCCAGCGTGTGTTTTGTTGTAGCTTCATTGATCCTTGTGCAAAAACCAGCAAAGCGGGACGCTCTCTTTAATTACCCTTCGGCTTCATTCCAGGAGACTTTTATTAGGAAGTGTGTCTTCATTTAAATGCAAATTTTAACATTTAAAGTCCAGGGCCGGGAGATGGGGGTAGTATCTCTTACAGCACCAGATGTGGTGACTGGCCTGCTTGTTTCAAGCAATTGCCGCTAACTCCTTCATTGCCAGTACCTCTGCCGCCCTCGCAGGCAGAGCACCTCACCTGCAAACTGGGATGGCTGAACTGGAGGTATGGACGTGGGCTCAGCCCTGCCTGGCTCCCTGCAAAGCTCAGTGTGCCGCAGCACACTTTCCACTCCTAGTACCCAACCTTGTATGTGCATAGTGTGTGTGTGTGTGTGTGGACAAATGATTGAATCGCAGCAAGTTGGAAGGAAGTAGGGACTTGCTGCATGCCATCACTGGACTGCTACTGTGTGTTATGGGATGATTCTTTAATGAGTGAATAACTCGGGGAGCAGAGACCTGAATGCAAGCATGACCTTTCCAGGAGAGATGGCCTTCAGTAGGACCCAGACCTCTATGAGGTCCCTTAACCCTTGGGAAGATGAGGATTTGCGGCTCAGCTTGCGGTTAGAAACAGCCATGGCAAGCGGCTTCATGGTGCTACCGAGGTGCTCCAGCTCTTTGCTGTGGCTTTAATTGCAAAAGACCCTCTGTCTGTAACCCAATGAATTTTGCATTAGTTGCTGCAGAGTGGCATGGCTTCAATAGGTCAGGTGGAGAATGATCCCACCTTGGCTAAGTGTCCAACCTGGTGATAAAGGCCCTTTGCTGGGTGGGTTTGAAACCTCTCGGGCTGAGGAGAGAACTGCAAGGAGATCTCATGCTTCCTGGGCAAGTGGTTTAATCGCTAGATTAGCATACGAAAGAGGTGTGGTGCCAATGGCAGCAGAACCCCAAGGTGGGATGAATGTTGCTGAACTCGGAGCGGTCATTCATGCCTGCAGGATCTGGTCCCTCAGGCTTGACCAGGGGTGTCAAAGATCTGACCTGTGGACCAGATCCAGCCATCATTCAGTCCTTAGTGTTGCCCCATGGGTCTGAGTTGACTCATATGCCACTGGAACAGCTCCAGATGCAGGGCTCAGGATGCACGCTGTATGTGACACCTGCTCTGCGTGGTCTGAGATCCATGGTACATGCAGTGGCCACCCTGGCTGGTCCAGGACTGCATTGCACGTGCCCTCCTCCTGCCCCTCCAGCTTGTCCAGGACTGGGCAGGGGGACACTGTGTGTGGCATGCGTCCTGGAGTAGACATTGCGTGTGCTGAATCTGGCATGAGGAGTTGGGGTAGGGGGACATCCGTGTGCATGATCTGGCCTGTGGACTGGCCCCATGCCACTCACCCAGCCTGCGAGACCAGATGAGTTTGACACCCCTGGCGCAGACAAGCCCTTAGGGGAATTAGGTGCCTCTGAGATTGAGGACTCCAAATGGGCTGTGTTGCAAGATTGGCACTGAGCTTTTCAGTCTCGCCGGGATGGTGGCACTTCTGGACATGTGCAGAAAGAGACGTCCAGATTTAGGGAACTTGACTGGCAGAACACGAGGGTGGGTTTTGGAGGATCATATCTATGGATTTAGGTACCTAAATTCTGTTTAAGTACCACTTTAGGCACCTGGGTCCTTTAGCAGATCTAGGCCTTGGGGTTTTGTTCAGCTCTCCACCTGTTCCTGTGCTGCCCGAAAGTTACCATTTGAACTGTGAGAAAAGGGGTCTTACTCCAGCATCCCGGGAGCAGCTTTCCAAGCCTCCAAGAATCGCTGTCTTTATTTGGCTCTCCCTTAGTTACAGGCTCAGCAGAAGACTGAGAAGCCCATTGAGGCTGCGCTCTATCGATGCTTGCACATAAAGGGGGTCTCCAGGCCACGGCTGGCCTGTTAGCGGTATGGATGAAGCCTTCACATCCGCTCTTTATGCCTGACCCTGCCGAGCACATGAGTCGAGTACTCAGCTGGCTGGGCTCTCTGCCTTCTCACCTTTCTACAACCCTACATTTTAGGCACATAGTGTGGTCCAGTTGCTGTTTCTGTAAGCACGATTCATCAAAGTTATGGTCTCATGGAAGTTAAGGGCAAAGATACAGGACTTAGGACCTGGCCTGAGCTCCACAATGAAGCAGTCACAGATCCAGGGCTATTGCCCCAGGATCCTCCTTCATTCTCTGCCCTGCTGCTCACCTGCATCCTAGCTCCTACATCACTTGAATGCGTTTCCAAGCAGATAGCCACCTCGCCTAACAGTGATGCTTGGCTTCTGCAACCAGCTTGGTAGTGATGCAGTGCCTAAGCATCATTCGAACCCTTCCCATTTCTGGCCACAGTCTCTGCAATGCTAACCAGATCCACCGCTACCTTTCCCTGTCCCCTCTACAAGGAGCTCAGGGCTTGAATAGGTGCTATTGTGAATAGCTGTGCTCCTTTTTTTCCTTCTCCTTCATTCCTTCTGCTACGGTTTCCCCATCTGATACCTTGCCCTGAAAGCTATTATTGAGATCGGCGTGCAAATCCCAGTGGGAATATTTGTGTCGCGCTCTGTTTTCCTTGTTTACATGGAATGCTTTTTGGAAACCCAAACCCCAGCCCTGTATATTTTTCCTAATAGCACGGTATCAGCCTTTAACATAATCATCCGAACGCAGCTTCCCGGAGCGATTTCCCATGAGACCTCAATGCACAAATATTGTGTTTGTTTTGAAATGACTCTTTCCTTTCATCTCCCGTCTCTCGCCGGGTCTCGTGGAGAGGGAGAAGTCCCTATTCTAACCTTTACCGAATGTAGCAGAGTTGGTTTGGGGTTGCATCTCTGCCTGATTGCTTTCACGCTTTGTCTTTCAGGTTTTTGTATAACCGGATGGGATATTGGAGTGACTGGTCCATTCCAATACTTATAACAACTGCTGCTGGCTTTACTTACGTTACAGCGTTGTTGGTAGGTAAATTAAAGTCCATCTATGAGTGCTACCAGTGCACGCATTTCAGCTTGCCCTGTGCAAGAGCATTGCTGGACCGGGTTGGTTCTGCTTCTTGCTGACTCCCACCTTAAGTAGCTTTGAGCAGATAAAATATTGAAGCTGTTTCCACCCCCGGTGTTACTGGCTATACATCTAGCAGAGGTGGTCATGCAAAGTGGCTCCAGCTGACCCGCTGAGAAATGGCTCTTTTGTTTATCTCGCTCTCCCTGTGGTTGGGTCCCATTTCTTCGTATAACCTCAGCCTTTGGTTTTCCATCAGATGGAAGAAATGCTGCACCGCATCCTGAGATACTATGGCCAATACTGTACCTAGACTCCTGGCGGCTGTGGGTGTACTTTTAGTATCGGGCCTCACTTTGCCAGTGATAATGAGAATAATAATCGGACAACGGGGAAAAAATTACCATTTTTGGGCCCCACGGTTCACCCATGCCTATGTCCAGCATTGACTATGGCCTGAATCCTGAGGCTGACACGTGGGTCGGCAGCATCTTCTTATCTTGCTCAGAACAAATAGTATTTCTTGTCAGCTCTGTTGATCTACACCCTAACGTGATGTCCTCTTCAACTGCCACCATCGCAAGGGCCGCAAAAGTCCATCTACCCTGTTCTCCCTTTAGAGCAGACCCCACCGTACAGCTTCGTAATTTGTTTTTAACCTCCCCTCCAAACCCCCCTTTATCCTCTTCTCATTTCCGTTCTCAGTCTCGCATCAAGGTGAGTTTCCGACGTACATGCTGAATGTGCTGTTACATCTGGTATAATCTGATGTCTGACCGGCCTCTCTTCTCATTGTCCTTTCAGATTTTAGCACTATGTCACATAGCAGTGGGACAGCAAATGAACCTACACTGGCTCCACAAGGTAAGTGACCCTTACTCACAGCCTGGGATTTGAGTAAAACAAAGGAGGCTGGAGGGATGTGTAATGGCCCATGTGGTTGTAGCCCTTGACAGTGCTGTACCTATAGCTCCCAGAGGTATATTATACAATAAATTTGAGGCCTGCAGGCTCCCACCCGGGTGCTGCTTTCTCCATCACTCCTGCTGCTAGGATCTCTGGGCTCCCCTTCCTTCCTCCAGCCTCCACTTCCTTCCCCTATCCCTAGGGTGCAGATGCCTACCTAGTTTGTTGTATGTTTTGGGATATTTGCAGATAACGGGCACTATAAATGTTAGCTCCCTGTCCGTGATTCCTGCGGGTGGGATAGCAAATGCAGAGCCACCAGGAATTGGTGAACCCGTGGGGCGCAGAGCTGAGCAAAGGGAGACTTAATGGTGGTAGCTGGGAGCCCCTCTTGCAGCAGCGTGGGTATTGAAAGGAAAATACCAAGCAGGACAGCAAATGGTTAATGGATGAGGGACAGAGCTCAGCAGTCAATGAAGTCATGCCATTTACTTTTCAAATTAATTTTCAAACAATAATATTTAGGTTTAGATGGTTTCCTTCTTGGGTGGGTGGAGGGAGATTCCAGGAAGCTTGTTTTTTCCATCTGACTGCTCCGTTCTGGGGGATGCGGATTTCCTGTCGGTCGCGTGAGGGTGGTCACCCCTGAGGACCCGGGCATCAAAGATGCACAGAGCCCACCGTCGGCTTGAAAAACTTCTGTGCTCCTGCTCTTCCAGGCCACTCGTCTCTAATTTCCTAACACCCCCTGCTCCAGAATGCTGCCTGAAGAAAGCTTGTCAAAGACATAGGCATCGACTTTTATTTTTGCTTTGGGGGGGGATGCTAAGATGATGCCCCCGCCAATAGCATGACCAGAGCAGAGCCCATGAAGGGGTGGGGGTGGATGCGGGCTCAGGGCTCCCTGCCCTGCTGCCCTTCCCCTGGGAGCCCACCCTATCATGCTGCAGTATGGGGTACGAGTCCATGCCCCCCCCCCCATCTGCTGTCTCTGGGCAGGCAGGGGGCACGTCACCATGGCCATGTGGCTGGTGCGGGGCTCCCTGGGGGAGGGCAGCAGGGCGGGGAGCCTTGAGGCTGTAGTGGGCAGCCTGCATCTGCCCCCACCCTGCATAGACATCCGGGGGGCACATGCCCCCCCCACGGCCTCCTCTCAGGAGTATGTATAGTGGCTGCCCCCTCTCCTCCCTCACCAGATGAGCCGCCTGTGGCTCTGTCCCACTTCCAGTCCCGGGTCCCATGCACCACCTTGGCTAGGCAACAGCCCCAGCCCCTGCCCCTGTCCCACTCCTGTGGGAGCCTCAATCTGCCTCCACCCATAGACTTACCTACAGGCAGCTGGGGTAGCTGCCTGGGGATGTATGACTGCCCACGTGCGTGTGTGGCACCCCCTGCCTCCCGCGCTTCCCAGCCACAAGCAGCCTCTTGCAGGCTGGTACTCTGCCAGTCTGCAAAGGGAAACCCCCCATTTCCCGTATTTTTCCATGGTGAACGGAAAACCCAGATCCATGCACTGTACTGAGAGTCTGGGACAAATGCTGTCCCAGAATCATGCAGCCCAGGACCAGGACTTTATGTTCACATTTGGGGACTGTCCCGCCCAACTGGGGACGGGTGGTCACCCTACCATCTTCCTGAGGGGGACCAGCGCTCTTAGGCTCCCATCTAATCAGCACTTATAGTGAGGAACATGAATATAATTTCCACTTTACAGACCGATAAAAGGAAGTGTAAAAAGATTAAGTTTGTTCTTCAATACAAATGTCACAGATTGGTTAAGTGACTTACATTGGGTCCCCTACCTAGTAAGTCAGTGGCATGGCTAGAAACAATACAACTCCATATCTTCAGATTACTACACAGATAGTAACCTATCTATAGTGACCCCTAGCTTCTAGCATTAACCGCTAAGCAGTCTTCTCTAAAACTAAGCCTTACCTTTCTAATCATCACCAGGAGGGTGGGAAAATGAACTAACCAGATGCCTGGCACATCCTTGGGGGTGTTGAACTCACACCTCCTTGCAGACTGGATACGGATGGAGCAGCAGTAGCAGCCAGGAGGTTAACACAGCCATAACTTGCCCCACACTGCTGACACGTCCCAAATGGGGTTTTGTACCCGGGATTTCAGCTATGTGCTCCCCTCTCCCCACCCAAACTCTCAGACCCTCTGCGAGCCCTGCAGAGTGCCTGTTTAACACTCGTGTCTTAGACCTTTTTGTATCAATTTACCTTTGGCTTGAAACTTGCAACCTCGTGAGGTTGAATTCCAGTTTTGGTGACCAGTTTGCAGCAAAATAGAGTCTAATTTGTGTGGCGGCTGCTGTCCTTCTCCATGTTTAATTTTTTTTTAAAGCTGTGGCCAGGTACAGGGTGTCTTTGGTTTTATTTCAATCAAGCACTTGGTGGCTGCTGAGATGGGAAGGGAGAGTGGATGATATCTAGAACTCCTTGGGTATACAGTTGTCTATGAATGTAGAGGGCTTGAATCTGTATGGCCTGAGAGGCCCTTTCCAGTCCTGTGTTCGTGTGATGTGCTAAGGGTACAGATGGGTCTACAGACATTATAAGACATGGCACGGGCTTTATTTTTGGTACACGACTACTGTTGAAGCCTGCTGGAACTCTGTGCACAGATGAGTCCAGGGCTGGATTAATGCATAGGCAAACTAGGCACATGCCTAGGGCCCTGAGCTGGTCCTTCCCTCCACAAATGATTCCATCTGCTTCCCTTCCCTTCTCTTCCCTTCCCTTTCCAACACTGCAGTGGCTGCTTCCTAGCAGCAGCACCTGGGTGGGGAGGGGGGGGTCTCGGCCAGCCTGGGGCTGGCAAGTTTGTTTGCCTAGGGCTCACTAAAGGGTTAATTCGGCCCTGCATGAGTCATGCAGGATTGGGCCCCTGGCAAACAGGCGGATGCACGCTGGACTCTGAATCGCCTCCCTTTCCTAGTTCTTTTCCTTTCCAGACGTGTTTGACTGCGGGGAAGTGGAAGTGGGAGATGGGAAGGGGGTGGAGGATGTCTGCTGCTGAAAAACAAGTTGTTGATTCTTGAGCAGAACATATGCTTCTTCGTGAGGAGTCTGATGTTTTTCAGACATGTTCCAGGTGGCTGGTGGGTTTGGATGAGTAACTCCGAGAGAGAAATATGTTGCAGAGATCCATTGGTTCTCCCCACCTACAGATGACCTCCGCCCCTCACTAAATAAACAGTATCCCTTCACCACAAACCAAACACATCAGGGTTTGCTTCTTTTTTTTTTTTTACCTTGAACTTTCCAGATCGTGCATGGGAGGAGGTGGGAGGAAGACGTGGGACTTGGGAAGGCCAACATGCAAATTCTTGTCTTCGTTATTTTTAGTGAATTCAGTAAAGTTGGATGCGAATACCTTGGCAGTTAGAGAACTGGTGTACGCTTTCTCAGGAAGGACTGGCCTGGATTACAAGGGCGCATGGTCTCTGTCTAAGTGGGGCCCTCTGTCTTCCCTTCTGATCCTGGAAACAGAGAATCACAGAGAAAGCTGGTTGGTGATGAATCAACCGTGTTTATCCAAATCCATGACAACCCCGAATTTAAGATGATGCCCCAATAATTAGATTCTGTGCATGGAAAACTTATATATTTGTTATAATTCCCATGTATAGAATCTTATGATTGGTGGGTTGCCTTAAATTCATCCCTACCACCATTGCAGTGGGGAAAGCAATGGCGAGGGGTGGTAGGTGGGGATCCGGCACTAAGGGGGTGGGTGGTGGAGGGAGCAGTGACGGAGAGGCAGGTGGTGTGGAAGTAGTAGGGGCAGGAAGGGGGAAGATGGTGGGGAAAAGAAACTTGCTCTCTACTGCCTGCCCCTCCACTTACCCCCACCCTTGCACTTGCCCCACTTGGCAGCCTTTGGCCTCCATTCCCTTTCCCCGCTCTCTCCCACTTGTGCTGCTTCTTCACCCCCATAGCTTCAGCCCCACCTCCCTCCCTTCTCCACCCTGCTTACCCTCGCTGTAGCACTGGCAGGCTGGGACATAGAGCATAACCCCAACCTGGTCCCATAGCAGCAATGTAGGGCTGGCACCACTGCTATAGGTCTTGGCTGGGGCCATGCTTCGTGCCCTGGGCTGCAGTGCGGACAGAGCCTGCTGGCATCAGAGGTGGGGCAGAGGCTGCTAGGAGGGGGTGAGTGGGGAAGGAGGTGGGGACTGGAGACTGTAGTGGGGAGAGGCAGGGGATGCAGACACGCTGGAGCTGCAGGCAGCAGCTGTGGCTCCAGCCCCGACCTGGGGTTGGGGCCAGACCTACAGCAGCTGCCTGCCCCTCCATCACCGCATACTCAAGTCCAAGACAAGGGGCTTTTTTTCCCTCATGTTAAATGGGTGGGGGGAGGGAAGGGAGGGGACCTTGTCTTGCAACTGGGTAAATGCAGCTTAAACCACCTGGTGCATATAGTCTGATGAACTGGAGAAGGTTCAAACTAGATGTAGAGAGGGGTGGAGGCTGCATTAAATGAACGTGTTGATGCCAAGGGGGGCATGAGAGAATGAATCACGTGAGACATGCCCCCGTTGATATACTTTCCCTCTAAAGCAGGGGTGGGCAAAATGGCAGATTTGGCCATCAGCTGGACTCCAGTTCCCAGTATCCCCTGCCCACATTGCTGTGGCCAGTTTCCCTGGAAACCTCAGCAGCAGAAGGGCCAGAGTTTCCATGGAGACCGGCCCCAGCAGCACTGGCAGGGTGCACCGCTGGGTGAGGATCTGCTCCGGGGTCGGGGCTGGGATTTTATGACAGGCAGTAGATTGCAGTTTTGCCCCGGCTTCGGACCATGCTTTCACCGCTGCAAGATCTGAGCCCTGGAGCAGCCCCCTGCCCAGCCACACGCCCTGCCAGCGCTGCTGGGGCCAGTCTCCATGGAAACCCAGGCCCCATGCTGTCTCAGCCCCCCTGTTGTTGGGGTCTCCATGAAAATGAGCTGCATCAATGTGGGCAGGGGCTGCTGGGAAATGGAGTTCACCATGGGCCCAATCTGGTCCACGGGCCGCGTTTTGCCCACCCCTGCTCTACGCTGTCTACTACTGTTGGAGACAAGATATTGGGCTGGATGGACCATTGGTTTGACTGCACCACTGTTGCCTCAGCTTGGTTTCCATTATGTTTTGAGAAGCCAGCGTGGATGAAGGGAGTCTAGCCTGGCACTCTCCTTATGTGATGATGTTCAATGTGTCCCTGAGTTTGGTGCAAATAAATTGAGAAGTCTGCATTTATATCCACTTTGCTGCTGTGTGCATGCAGCATACCTTGCAAGCCTCACATCACCCTTTTCCTGTATGGGGAAGGCTTGAGAGAAACTTCGCCCCAGCCACGCAGATTTAAATGAGTCCAAATTCTTGCTACTGTCTTCAAAGATTTAAGGTAGCCTTTGGCTGGTGTCGGTAGCATTCAGTGTCTGACCACATTGGCTGATTTGTCATAAAAAAACAACACTGGGAGAGGCTGGAAGGGACTAGAGCAGAGGAGGACATGGGAATCATCCTGGAGCAGAGGTCAGCACTGTTATAATACCAGGAGCCCAAATTAAGATAGCCCAGTGCTAAGGCAAGCCAGAGGTGGCAGTTATTAGATATTCCACTGCTACATGGTGTATTTTGTGAAAAACTTAATAACAGGATATAGAAACTTTGGTTTTGGCATGGGGAACAGCCTGGACAAAACCTCTTCATGGGCTGGGTTTGATTCATAGGCTGCTGACCTCTCTTCTAGAGAATTTCTTCTAGAAATGCATTATTTCTAGAGGGCAAAATACATTTTTTGAAAATGTGAATTCAACTTTTGTTCGGTTGCTTTGCTTAGAAAAAATTAATAAATGCCTCCCTCCCAGGCAGTGGGCAGTGTGTTTGACTCTTAAGCAAATCTGGAACAATTGTAGGACTTTGGGACATTTTGATTACTCTGTTCTGTGTACGCCTCTCAAAACGGGGCTTTTTGCCCCGGAAGAAAGCCAGATTTCATCAGTACAGGAGACTGAGACATGGACCAGCAACATCCCTTTAAATCTCGCTGGCTATGCAGCATTTCTTGCAATGGTCTCTGTGATGGAAACTAGGGGGAAGACGGGCTTGAGGCTGTCTAGTTAAAGTGGGTTGTAATGACTGTGTCATGACTAAACTAAGTTTAACATTTTACCCTTGTCCAGTTTGGTCATTCGGCTGCTCTGTGTAGACTTGTGCTTTCTGAGTATTTCCAAGCCCGTTTGCAATCAGACAAAACTTGGAGGGCGGGGGGCTGGATCTTGCCTTTAGCATTAGAGACCTATAGTGCTTGCTGTTTTGCTAGCTTCCCCCTGCATAGCTCTGCCAGCGCATCTCTGCCCCCTGCATACCATTGCCAGGAGCATGAATTTTGCCATTTCAGATACCGAGTCTTTCCCAAGCAGAGTCAGAGTGGGGCAGTTCCCTGCCATTGGGCATCTCATTTAAAGTCTTTATGCCATAGTTTCCTCAAAGAAAATGAGACTCTGACATTCGATTCTTCTGGATCCTTGGGGCAAAAGTTGCTGTATTAAATACACTATATAGCAATGGTATTAATATCCATAAATGTTTCCTTTCTTTGTTTCAGATTGGACTGATTGTGACCTTGATAGCTACCGTTATAACCATGTCTTCTATAGCACAGCTTTGGGATGATGAATGGGAGATGGTAGTTATTTCATTGCAAGTAAGTTGTAATATTTTGGGTGGGTTTTGGGGGGGGACACAGGACTATATTTCAAGGAGCAGAGCTTTTTCTGTAGCTTTCAGTACTGAAGGGAAAATCGTGCTCCACTGAAGTAAATAGCAAACTTCCCTTGGCTTCTCTGAGACCAAGATCTCATCTCAAGTCTCCATCTTCAGAGCTGAACTTTATAGCGAGCAGTAGGAATTGCTGATGTTGGGTGTGATCCAAAGCCATGTGAAGTCAGCAGGAGTTCTGCAAACATGATGAAATGCCACTGTGGTTGTCAGTTAGATGGATGGATGCATCCTGACTGCCGGGATCCTAGGTATACAGGCCTGGAACTGTAAAATTCCTCCTAGTCTGACGGGGGGATTTTGCATTTGGACAGGAACATGATTAAAAAACCCCCCCAAAGACTTTTGCTTTTTGAGGGGCCAGTGGAATTGGTACATTGTAGAGTCTGATGAATGCGGAGCAAAACCAGTCCCCAAGATTTTGTGAGCCTGATGTTGCTTTTGGAAGCAGCTCTCATCTCAGTTGTTTTTTCTGTTCCATTCCCCAAAAATGTATTCAGTGCATCTTGTTTGCAGGAAAGGGTTTAATGTAAGGTTGATTCTGTCTTTTGGAAATACCCCGATTCACGGACAAAAGAAGAGGTGAGTTGGGGGAGCGGTTAGACAAGCTTTCAGGCACAAATTTGCCTTACCTCGCTTCACAAATTTTGTTTCATACCAAAAAAAAAAAAAAAAAAGCATTCATAGTCACATCTGACTACTTATGTGTTTCAGGAGTTATTTCTTCCTGGTTTCTAAAGCTTTACCCAGGCAGTTAGGAAGGAGAAACAGGACTTTGTCTAAGCTAACCATCTATGCTCGCAGGCAGTGCAGAATCAGTGGTGATATAGCAAAGCATATAGTTCAGACAGACTGTGATACCCTTGTGTGTTAAGCTGATGCTTTCAGGCAGCCTCTGTTTCTGTCCTTGCTGGCTCCTGCGTCATAGACTCCCAGGGCTGGAAGGGACCTCAGGAGGTTGTCTAATCCAGCCCCCCTGCTCACGGCAGGGTCACCCCAGCCAAGCATTTATCTAACCTGCTCTTAAAAACATCAAATGAAAGTGGTCCCCACTTGAAAGGCTGTGGCATCTAAGAGCAAGCAGAGCCCGGATGCATCGAGTGACTTGCCCAGAGTCACAGAGCTGGGGACTGAGCCCCGATCTAGTCCAGTGCTCTGTCCGCTAACTTAATTACCCCTTGTTGCGGTTATAAATAATTTCCCCCCTCCATGTATTACTGGAGCACCTGGTGACCTAATGATGCTAGGGGCTCGCTTCAAAGGATACAAGCATCTGCCGAGGAACTTCCTGGGGCTTGTCGATGTTGACTCTGTGACAAGGCCTGGAGGCCTGCAAGAAAGCGGCCCCCGTCCACTCCATGCACCTCCACCTCCCAGGCATCGGGCAATACACCAGTACTGAGCTTGTCCCAGGAGCTCTGTTTTAGCACAGGGCTGATCAGACTTGGCTGCAGCATCTCATTTCTGGGAACCAGTGTGCACAGAGCAGGAGTGAGCGGGGAAGGTGTGCTTCTTGGCATTGATGCAGAAGCAGTGTAGACAAGCCATCGCTGTGCGGATGTCTTCTCCTTGGCACACGGAGGGCCAGAACTGCATGACTGTATAGCCCTGGGGACCAAGCCATTTCTCAGGCAACACTGGAAGGTGGAAACTGTTCACATCTGAGCCTCAGGGCAGACACAATGCTGATGCAGAAGGCTCAGAGTCTCTTTGGGCAAAGGGTGCGTAGTTGGATTCAGTATGGGGTAGGCAGGTGCTTTGTGTGGTCTTTGGTGTCCAATTGAAAGAAGCTGCCTTAGGATAGTACCGGGCATAGAAGTCGGAACATTTTTCTCCTTGACTATCTAGAAATGTCTCCTTCAAGCCTCTTCATGGTGTTCATGTTGTTTTTCCTAGGCCACAGCTCCATTCCTGCACATAGGAGCCCTTGTTGCAGTCACAGCCCTGTCCTGGTTGATAGCGGGGCAGTTTGCAAGAACGGAAAAAGCCAGTGAGTATCAGCTCATCTTCTCCTTGTTTGCTCCATATTCTCCTGTGTCCTTAAGTCCTGCAGAAAAAATCATCGGCACACACATGTTAAAGATCAATGGCTGACATCAAAGCAGAAGTCCGTGACACTTTGCCTTTTGTTCCATGTGATGAGGGAAGGGTTTGATGCTTGTACTTCCAGGCAGTGCTAGGGAAAGTCTAGCAACCTGTCGCTGTCAGAGCACGTTGTTCTTCCTCGTACAGCACCATCACAGCACTCGGTCAACCCCAAACAACTCATTGCCTCCCTCTCTTTTGAAATCATAACTACCTTCTCATTTCTGAAGGCTTTCATGTGCTTCATTTGCAACCAGAGAGCTGGTCCCAAGACGCTGGGTGCACATACCTGCCTGGTGAGAGACATCCACCTTTTGAAGGATGTGCAGACTAAAGAGACAGCCCAACCAAAAGGCAGGCAGGGACCCAGAGAAGTTTTAAATATTTTTCACTTCATTTTTCATCTGACCCCAGCACTC